ACATAATAATTAGAAACGAAACAGAAGCACAGCGTAGTGGAGCGGATGCCTAGTATGTTGTCCGTACCTAACACATTCAGCTTTCGTCCATAACTGAAGATCAAATACAACATAATTTAGATACGACATTGATGTCATTAGTTCATAAATTCTTCTGCTGTTTCATGTTAATAATTCAATTATTAAAGACACTGAATGAATTCTAGCAATTTGTGAAATATGTTACGATATCCAATGATCAAAACTTGCCAACAATTAGGAAACACAACTTTAAACTAGTGAAAAGAGTATTTAGCAAAACATGATATAACATAGTGTTATGTTTGTGTTGTTAGATTACGTATCCTACAAGGTGTATACGAACGCCCAAGTCGGGTGGCAAGGCGCCATAAAATCATGCAGCAATGAAGGTGCGACGTTAGCGATGATTAGTGACTCATACACACAAAGGAAGATTGTTGAAAAGTTAGTGGAAATGGGCGGCATTACCGGCAAATATTGGTTTGATGGGAAAGTGTCCATGGATAGCGATATATGGAAAAGTAAAAGCGGATCGCCGTTGACTCATTTTAACTGGGCAGACAGGCAACCTATTACTGGTCCAAACAAATGTGCCGTACTCAGGTAATATATTGTAACTGTAATCCAAATGAAAAGCTTCACACTCACAAATGATCTATAAATAGAACAATAGACATATATATTTTACTATTGTCACTGTTCCTTTTTTTAGCAATAACGGGGAATATATGTGGGAAGCTGAAAACTGTGGAGAACGAAACGGATACATTTGTACATTTCATGCAAATAACAAGATTACAGGTAATAATTGAATTGATACATATATGAACGGAACATAAACGGTTCGGATAATCTATATAGATCGATAAGGACGTTTAGTAACAATTACACGGCTCAATCCTTATTCAATCAACGACAGAACTATATATTTTGATTGAAATTTTTAACTGTGCTTGTCAACCGATTAAATTTATAATTACTCGTCGAAAACGATGTCAATCGTGTTGTAGTAGTCCTCACCATAAATAACATATTATGATCATACAAATACAACATTCTATGTTTGTATAGCAACACAACGGTGATTCATACCGATGGCTAGCCCGATAAAAAAATCATAGAAGTTTATTTTGGTGTGAATTCAATGCACAATGTCTACCCAATCACTCAGGATCAACACTGCACTCGGATACGTAACCATGGTATATGACGTCACATGTCGCATTTAAATAATACGTGACTTTCCCATAAACTGTATAAGTATAACCGTTGCATGTAATGTGTGATCGTTACCAACACGTGACGTATATTCTAGTTCCATGTGACGATAATTGGATACAATACGGCAATGCATGTTACAGTCTACGAATGGATGGTAGAAACTGGACCAGTGCTCGCGATGAATGTGCAGAGGCAGGTGCCGAGTTGGTGAAAATCAACACGAACACTGCAACCCGGTTACTATCCGTCGTAGAGAAGAAAATTGGTTTGATCATGGACAGATTTTGGATTGGTTTACATGAGGTAACGTGTTATGTCATTATATTCACAATGTCATCTCCTCCATTGTCATATTTTATCTTTTGTACGTATATACACCAGCTAAGCAGTTACGCAACCCAATCTAGTTTATATTGTTTTTATATATTTATAACATCATTGTAAGTATAAATGCTTCCACGCTTATTTCAGTAAATGGTGAGTACGTTTGGATGGATGGTTCTCCAATCAAATGGAGCTACTGGTTGCCGGGGACCACTATAGGAGATGATGAGATGCGTCGCTTGGGTGATCAACGATAAAAACAACGGGTGGACACGAAATTGCGATTATGTTAGTCCGTTTA